TTCCTTGTTGCTTATTCTTTCTGGCCATCTGATCTTCACTATGGAGTGAGCGTAGGCGGCAGCTGTTGATGTATGTCTGTAGTTTGCCGGAAATGCTTTTCGTAACGCTCCAAGTCTCTCAACCATCACGTAGAAGCACTGACTTGACTGGCGTTAGTGTTGAAAATCCGGATCTTGTTCACGCGTTGTGCTGAGTGTAGTGCAATGCAGTAGATCTCCACACTGGTTTCAGATTAATGAAGGCCTGTCTTGATGTCTTTCCAATCCTGGATTTGATGTCCTCATCTGTGCCGCCGCCTGCAGTTGGAACGATGCTGCATAGGTAGGTGAAAGAGACTACTTCCTTTAGTTTTCTTCCTTTGACATCATAGGGGATTAAAATTAAGAAAGATGAGAATAAACAGGAAGTGACATAGTTGATCTTAATCAGGGTAGGAAAACAAAGTTCACCGAGGGGTAGGTATAGTATAAGGACAAATTATTTTTGTACACATAAAGGTAGATTCAATTTCTTTATGGCTATGGCTGCTGCAAATCTCAGTATACGTCCCTGACTGTTTCTGTATAAAACTTTGAAAGCTGTCTGAACATTAATTTTGTAACCTGTTTCTATGATAGGTTTGGCCGTAGATGAAGAGGGTCGTCTCCCATCACCGTTTATCACGGTTGGGTGAGTCAAGGAAATAGTCACAAACCACTACAATAGCTTCTGTCTTGTCAACTATAAGCGTGGTTCAGTCAGGACGTTATTCACTAGAATAAAAAAGCTGTGTTCTAAAGATAAACAAGAACTCGGGATAATTGAAAAGGCTCTTATAGAGAGGATATCCGAAGAAATTCATCATAAAGCATGGAAAAGAACTTATTGAGAGACCAAAACATCCAACTGTTGAGAAGAAGAAGCCTGTTTTCCTTCGCCTAGCATTCAAAGGTGATGAGACATGTGAAAGAATAGAAGAATAAAAGCTGCACTGAGAAGGACCTCCCCAACCGCCAGACTGATCTCAGTTTACAATACATTATGCTCAATAACACAGTCGAAAGTATACAAATACCCATGTCACATCATCTCCAACTGCGTATATCAATTCACCTGTGCTTGTGGAAGCAAGGGCATAAGACGTATTGAAAGAGGGGTGTCTACTCGATTTTATGAGGATATTCCGAAATGTATATCTGAATGGTAGCAAGGTTTTTAAGAGAGCAGTCGCCAGACATCTGATGGGAACAGGAAATTAAATAGATGTTTCTCAATCCTTCAGGATAATCAACAACAAAGAACACCATGTTTATTATGATTTGTGGAAGCTCTCACTATCAAACTTTTTCAACCTGACCTATGTACTCAGAACGAGGCTGTAATTAACCATTCTTTACCTTGGTAGATATATATAACTTTTTGCATTTGTATGTATATAGTCTTCACTTTCCTTTGGATGCATCATCTCTTCATTAATTACTTATTGAGTGTTAATCACTTAACGATTTTCAAGTTTTTCACATAATTACGCAACTTATTAGTTGTTAAACAGTCCCTTCTTTTAGACTGATTTTCGTTTGTTGTCCCCCCAATGCACAGGTCCAGAATTTTCTGTCTCATCAGATATAAACTGCCATTGATTTTGACTGAGATATGTAACTATTAATCCTGTGTTTCCTCAACTCATTCACTACCTTATTATTAATTCTGGATTTCAAATGCCTATTTATTTTTGCTTGTTTTAAGTATGTTATGTCATCATTTCAGTTTTAGGCTGTTTGCAGCTGATGAAAGGCGATGAAGTAAGACGAGCTCATTTTATCCTGCAAATATTTCTTTCTTGCATTGTACAATGGGATGTGACGTAATCATTGATTCAGTGTTTACGTTTTTGGTGAAGCATTTGTTTTTTCTACAATGATAAGATTAACGGCGTAATATGTTTTCTTTATGACTGATGTTAGCCTCCGTCTCAAAATGATACTATTCAACTCCTCTCTTTATGGTGAGTGATATGGACGCTTTTCTTAGGAATCATATATAGAGTTGGCTTTGGTGCTACTTGACGTCTACAACGGTTTATAAACTTCATCGGATATCCTTAAGTGTTTTGGTCAGTCATTTGATATCTTCATCCATCATCGTATCTGATGTACAGAAACGATAGATCCTATTAGTTGTTCTTTGATACTTGTACTTTCCCGTTGGCTGAGTTTAAATAGAATCTGACAAGAGGACAAAATTTCTTTCGGACATTTAGTAGTACTGAACACGAATTGATGCGTTGTTTGTTGAATGAATGGTGTTGTTCAGAATTTTCTACATCCAATGGGTTATTAATTATTAAGGAAAAAAGTCATCCACATCACAATTGTTTAGCTAAATCTATTGTCTTTGAAATGGTTTTTTCCCCTTCAATTCCTTTTTCTCTTATTAACAATCTAACTACAGTTACCATGTTTTTTTTGTTTTTTCGTGTACTTTTATTATTATTGCAAAAACTGATGTTCTCACTATATTCAGTCTCTAGTTCTATATTTTGTATCCTTAAATTTATAGTTTATTTTTGTAATATGCTGCAGGCCTTGTTCCCTACGTACATACATACACATATACACACACAGTGACTGGTTGTCCAGGTTATTGTTTGGCGTATTGTATCACCCTTCGACTTCATATCTCTGAACTGGTTTCCAATATCTACATTAAGTATTTTCTGTGTGCAACTTTAATAGACTGAGAAATAGTTTCATAAGAATAAATATTTGTTTAAACCGTGCTAAATTGATGGATTACTGATGAAGTTCCTGACAGTTGGTTTGAGCGGTGGGGGAGATATAGACTGCTTGGTTGGGATCCCTGAGAAGAAAGAAATTAGCGTCTGAGGATTTGGTCACATGGTTGAAAATCGGTCACAACAATGCAGATGTGTTCACTATGTGACATCTAAAGCTTGAATATTCACCCTAACCACTATCCAACTGTTCTTTTAGTACTTCTGTGAAGTGTGGCAACTTGAGCCGATACAGTTGTGTGCGAGGCTCCTACGCTGATTTTATCAGCAAATCACATTACTGGAGAGTCATATTGTCCAACCTTAAGTGCTGACCGAATTTTATCGATCATTTTGCGGTTATAAGTCTCCTAGCTTGGCGGCTGGATTGCTAAATGACCGGAAGAATTCAGTCAGCGGTTACAAGACAACATGAAATTGGTCGCTCTCCAGTGACCAAGTAACGTACTTAATCTAGTCATGTAGACGGTCGATCGTAGCTCGAACAGGTAAAGGGTGACATCTCCGACTACAGCACTGGATGATGCTCCCTCGAATCTCCTAGGAGATGCTGACATCCCTTACTAAGGAGTCCCAAGAAGCACGACTTCCTGCTAATTACTTTCAAACTTACTAACAATTATTGTTACTTCTTAGTATTACTGAGCCAATATATGGCTGCTGTAAATCTTCTTAGTATCCCGAAAACTACTGACCCACTCGCGTCACGTTAGACTGTAAAAATACGAAGTAATTTGAATTATAAAAGCGTAGGTTGTATTAGCGAGTTCAAAACACGTGGGCAGACAGTCAAGTGTTTAATGTCAAGAAAAGTCAGCAAGTATTGAACTGTAAGGCCAATGAACTGACAGAAGTTGAAAATATGGACCATTGGGTTCCGACTTAGTGGTCAACGTATATATAATAAAGAATAGAAACAAGAATGCTTGCTGCTTCATTATGACTATTGACCGTGTTGTGATGGTTTCGTATACTATGTGATGGCGATTTGATTTCTACTGTTTTATAACTTTTTAAATGACAGTAAAGTTTAGTAAGATGCATATTTGAATCCTTACTTTTTCATGAACAAAGTGAATGTACTGCCAGAGAAAATCATTTCAGACAAAAGTAGTAACAAAACTTGTTGAATAACGTTGTTGCTTGTATTATCCCGTCGTTGATTGAACTGAACTGATCCATCTCTGATAGCATATGGGCTCCTGCGCGGATGCCTCGCTATTCCTTGTGTTTTAACTGTATATTAATGATGGATAGTGGCTAACAGTGGAATCCAGCTTGCTGCACGTTTCGTCCTATTTAAGACTCAGCTGGATGTACCTGCCTCCCAGTGAGTGATGTTGTTCCCACCGGGACTCGGACAAGCAACAATATTAAAATTGTACCCGTCTCATAGGAAGTGGCTATCGTGGCTCGATGATCTAGGGGACAACGCTTTGGCGTTTGAAGCGATCGGTCCCGGTAAAAATCGCATCATTCGCTGGGAGGCAGGTACATCCAGCTGACGAATCCCAAATAGGAGGAAACGCACGTCCTGGATTCCACTGCTAGCTACTATCCATCAGTATTCTTGTCGAATAGGTGCATATATTTTAACGGATTTTTCATGAGAGCACTTTTTCTCTACATCCATATAAATAGTGTAGCAGCCAGTAAGGATATATTTTTAAGTGTACGGGAAATACACTATTCTGCACATCGTTACACCCTCGAACACGAGTCTGAGCTGAGCGCACTAATTGCAGCTTCCGTATTCAAGTGTTATAGTCCCCCTTCTGGTCTAAGGATATTTTTCGACATGACCTAGTCCATCATAATATTACACTGAATGCTCTGTGCATGACCAAATGTCAAATAGTAGCCGATTATATTCTTATATTATTATTTTTCCCTTGGGTTCCCAGTGGAACATAGGGCTTCAGTAGCACGCCTCCACTGCACTCTCTTCTCTGCAGTCCTTTGAACCTGGCGCCACGACTGCCCACAAGCTTTCATTTCTTCCTCACATGATCTCCATGTCATCCTCGCCTCGGACGTCCAACTCGTCGTTTCCCCTTTGCATTCCACTGGAGGGCTTGGCGCACCTACTCACTTAAGCATCATCACTATCACGTTATCACTATTATTAAAATGATAATGGTAGCAGATGAGTTAACTTTGTTGGATAATAATACTTGTGACTTGTATACATATTCACTGATGCATACTATATTTACTCGTTTTCAGTAAAGGAGATGGAGTGTCTTTCAGAATCGAACAAAGTTCAACTCATCAACGCTATTCACCAATACTTTCAGAAGTCTAGAATCGCCGAGTGTTATTTCGCTTTTTCCATAGAATTTATTACCCAAATGCCAAATATTAACTCTTCCCAAACTTCGGTTAATTTGTAGAAATTGTTCCTGTTGAGTGTATACTTGTGACTAATTTTTTAAATACATTTTTGAATTCAGTGACTGTGTTTTGTTGTCGGATAAGATGTTGTTCTTAGATTAACTGAATTGGGGTTTCGGAGATCAGTAGTTGAGTCTAGTAAGTGGAGAAGGTTGTGGATCTTCACTGATTGAAGTAACGTGGATCTATGTTGTGTATACTGTGGCTCAGTGGTTTGAGGAGATGACTTTTTGCCAGTGGATCACGGATTCGAACCCCGCTCCACCTACCAAGGTTTCCGGTAGTCAGGCAGTATTACTAGCCCTCATACAACAGGTGTGGCTTGTTGCCTACTTCACGAACGTGCACAGGGCTGATGAGTGCGTTCCATTCGTCGCTAAGCCACCACCCATGTTAGGGATGTCGGACTTCGATCCGTAGTGTTTTTGCCCTAATTTTAAACTCATTACAGAATTTGGACACTGCATTGTTATAGTGTAATTCCACAATACGTTAATCTGTTTGATACAGCACACAATGTTGCAGTATACGTACTATATCGCTTCTTAGGCCTTTGTAACTTGGTTATGGGATTTTTTCGATACTGTTGTTGACTTTCAGAATATATCGAGCAGATTCACCGACACTGTTGACACATTGGACTCTTAAATTTGGAGACATGATAATACACCGCAATCCAGGTACTCGATTCATGGATCTAGAGGTTTTCTTGTCAACCTATTTTGGTTACTTTGCTTTGAGTGTCACTATTCACCGAGAGCGCATTTTATAAATATGGTGTATGATTGTGTATGCTGTCGGTGGTTTGGATGCCTAGCAGAATCCAGAAATAAGTCGCAACGCACTCGGCAACCATAATTACGTGCTTGTGGTAGGCAATGCGTCATTACTATTATATGACTCCCTAGACCTTAGTAGGTGGACCGAACTTCAGACTTGTGAAAGTCGAGTGACTAGACCAATGATCCATAATTCCAAATAAAATCATATATATATATATATATATATATATATATATATATATATATATATATATATATATATATATATATATATATCCAAAATTATAGATCCAAAGTATTGTAAAAGTCTTTGAAGATTGTATCCTGAAATTCCTGAGGACGTACTCTAGCCTGAGAATCGCATTCTCTTACACCTTAATCGACAGACTGCAAAAGTCGAAATACAAATTTTGATCAAACTGATAAGCATCTACTAGCTCACGGATTCCCGTGGACAGACATCCATCAGTTGTACACAAAGCCATTTCGGTAGATTCGACCTACATCACACCTTTTGCGTGCACCCATGGTCCCCATAGCCACCATGAGGAAGGATTTGCCTATTTCAATCACATATAGCTAAATTAATGACATTTCATAGTCTGACGTCTCTCTAACGCTGATGAGAAGACCATTATTATTATTATTATTATTATTATTATTATTATTATTATTATTATTATTATTATTATTATTATTATTATTATTATTATTATTATTAGTCCCTTGGGTTCCTAATGGAACATACGGCTTCAGTAGCACGCCTCCAGTGACCTCTGTTCTCTGAGATCTTCTGAACCTGGTTCCACGACAGCCCACAAGCCCTCATTTCCTCCTCGCACGACCTCCTCCATGTCACCCTCGGACGTCCAACTCGTCGCTTCCCATGGGGATTCCACTCGAGCAACTGGCCTGACGCGTGATGTCCTCAGTCGGCCTTCTCAGTGCATGGCCAATCCATCTCCACTTCCTTCCAGAGCATATTTGTTGGGTGATAGGTTCTTGGTTGGTTCGTTCCCAGAGCTCCTTGTTGCTTATTCTTTCTAGCCATCCGATCTTCAGTAGCGAGCCAGAGTAAGCAGTTGTTGATGAATGTCTGTAGTTTATTGGAAATGCCTTCCGTGACGCGCCAAGTCTCTGAACCATACAGAAGCACTGACTTGACGTTGGTGTTGAAAATCCGGATATTGTTCCACATGCTGAGTGCAGTGGGGTAGATCTTCACACTGTTTTCAGGCTAATGAACGCCTGTCTTGCTTTTCCGATTCTGACTTTGACGTCCTCATCTGTCCCGCCAGTAGTTGAAACAGTGCTTCCTAGATAGGTGAAGGAGGTTACTTCCTTCAAGTTTCTCCCGTTGACGGTGATTGGAGTTTGTTGTTGTTGTTGATGGTGGTGGTGCGGTATCTTCATCACTTCTGTCTTCTCTATATTCACCTGAAGTCCCGTCTTTGCTGCCTCTTCTATCAACTTGTTAGTTTTTGCCTGCAGATCTTCAAGTTTGTGTGACATTAGGCATAAGTCATCGGCGAAATCCAAGTCTTCTAGGTTCTTTTCCGTCGTCCAGTGTATCCCCCTCTTCTCGCTGCCTACTGTTTGCTGCATGATCCAGTTGACCACAATCAGGAATATCATGGGGGATAGTAGACAGTCTTGTTTCACTCCTGTCTTCACTTCAAAGGCATCACTGAGCTTCCCATTGTGGATTACTTGGCATGTGGCATCTTCATATAGTTGTTGAATGAGATTGATAAAGGTTTGCGGTACTCCGTAGTATTGAAGCAGTTTCCAAATTACTTCTCGGTCGACGCTGTCAAAGGCCTTCTCAAAGTCGATGAAGTTGAGGTAGAGAGCTGACTGCCATTCTATGCTCTGTTCTATGATGATACGAAGCGTTGCAATTTGGTCTGCACATGATTTGTACTTCCTGAAGCCTGCCTGTTCCGGTCGCAGTTTTGAATCCAGCATATCCTTTAACCTCTCCAGGATGATGCGGCTTAATATTTTGCTTGGGGTGGACAGGAGGGTGATTCCGCACCAGTTCTTGCAAACACTGAGGTCTCCCTTCTTCGGGAGTTTGACAAGGTAACCCTTCTTCCAATCGCCAGGTACCTTCTCTTCCTTCCACACCTTCTGCAATAGTGGTGTGAGCATGTCCGCTGTTGTCTCTGCGTCTGCTCTCAGTGCTTCTGGCGGGATCCCATCTAGTCCTGCTGCTTTCCCGCATTTCAGCAACTTGATGGCGTTCAGGACTTCCATTTTCGTTGGGGGATTAATGTTCACTTGTAATTCAGCGGCTGCAGGTGGTATTTCTGGACGAAGTGTAGGTGGTGGTCGATTCAAGAGCTTCTTGAAGTGGTCAGCCCATCGTTTCCTCTGTTTCTCTTCTTTTGTAATTAAATTTCCGTCATCACCTTTTATTGGTTTCGTCTGTGTTGATCTCTTCCCAGATAACAACCTGGTTATTTGATACAATGTCGTCAGGTCTCTCTTACCTGCAGCCTGTTCTGCTTCACTTCCCAGTGTTTCGTAGAAGTGTCTTTTGTCTTTGCGTGCACTCTTCTTCACTTCTTTGTCCAGTGTTTTATGCATTGTGCTCAGTTCTTCTTGTCGTTGAGTATCCTTGCACTGGTTAATCTTCTGCTTCACCATCCTCCTCTCCTCTATCAGCTTCCAGGTATCCGTCGAGATCCATTCCTTATCTTCTTTCTTCTTCCTTCCTAATACTGTTGTGCAGGTTTCTTTCCACATAGCTTTCAAAGACTTCCAGTGTTCTTCCACACAGGTTTCTTCAGGGATGTTCCTCGATATCTCACATTTTGTCTTGATGGCTGCCTTGAAGATCTCCTTTGTAGTTTCATCCTTCAGTTTCCGAGTGTTGTACTTGAATTGAGGTCTATCACCAGCTTCCTTGAAGGCTTTTAACTTGATTTGGAAGGTTCCTTGCACTAGATAGTGGTCTGAACCTACATCTGCTCCTCTTCTTGACCTTGTGTTAAGTAGACTGCGTCTCCATTTTCTTGAGATTGAAATGAAGTCGATTTGATTTTTAGTGTGTCCATCTGGTGAAATCCATGTCGCTTTGTGGATATCCTTGTGCTAGAACACACTGCCTCCAATCACCAAATCGTTGAATGCACAGAATTCTGCAAACAATTCTCCATTCTCATTCATTTCACCTAGCGCCTCTCGACCCATGGTTAGTTCTCTTCCTGTGTTGTCCCCTCCCAGTTTGGCATTCATGTCGCCCATTAGGATTTTGATATCGCCAACTGACGTCCTGTCCAGTGTTAATTGCAGTTGTCTGTAGAATTCCTCCTTTCTCTCTTGCTCTGCATTATTTGTAGGTGCATAACATTGTATGATTGTGACCTTTCTTCCTTTTGAGTTGAACCTTGCTGTCATGATCCTGCAGGAGGAGATTGGTTCCCACTGCATGAGGGCCTTCGGTGCTCTTGGGGACATCATGATAGCCACTCCATAACTTAGTGTGCTCGTGGTTGTTGTCTGGGTGACAATATCGGAGTAGATTATTGATTCTCCAGTTCAAAGTTTGGAGAGTCCATTCCCATTCCATCTGCTTTCGCAAATTCCAAGCACTCCAGTGTGATACCTCTTCATCTCGTTTGCAATCTGGGCTGCCTTAGTGGGTTCAAACATGGTGCAGACATTCCATGTCCCCACGTTTACTTTCGCTTTCATCGAGAGAAGACATATCGGCCAATTGGCTTCCCGAAGGCTTTCACCAACTGGCGTCATTTCGCCTCTCCGATTCCAGCGGGGAATAAGTTTGTTTTCATTTTTTATATTTTGTTTGTGCTTTGAAGTTTCTTTAGCGGTTAGATTTGTTTTACGGGGTAGGGTTGGTAGCCCTATGCCCAACCTTCCCTCTTTACCCGGGCTTAGGACCGGCTAGTAACTAGTAAACTAGTTGACCAGGCGAGGTTGATGAGAAGACCATAGAATCACAATTTTTAGTCTAAAAACAGACAAATCAACTTAAAAACAAACACAGGGATGCATCACTTCAAGTTGCTACAATTTACAGTAGTTTGTAAAGAAAAGGTGAACAGAAATAAATGAAAACGAAGAAGCCAAAAGTATATGAGAGGAAAGAGAATAGAATGATAGTTAATTAAACTACTCAACACTTTAAAGATGAGAAACAATTCATACCTCTGCGCCGTTGTGACTGGTTTTGAGAGATATCATGAAGAGTTTCCAACCGCTTGTCCTTATTGTCTCAAAGTTACAGGTCTTTGAATATTGGTATCTTCGTAAGATTGCTCGCCTATGGTGTGGTCATTATGTTAGCAATATCAGTGTTAATAGAAGGCTACTAGGCTAGGAAGGAATAGCTGTCAATGAAGTTGTGAATCTTCGGCGACTGAGGTGGCTTGGATCTGGGTTGCGCACACCAACCTACCGCCAAACCTGATATGCAATGCTAGGAAAAGTTAGATTACGTTGGAAGAAGGCTCAGGAAGACCAGACCAAAACATGGCACCAGTTCACGAAGTCTCTGACTGTTTGTCTAAGTTGTGTACGGAGACGTGAACTGCTGGTGTCTGTGAGACGATAGGAACCAGTGCTTGAGGGATCTTGCCGAAATAACTGAAAATTGGTCACAATGACGCAGATGTATTCAATCCATGACGTGTAAAGCTTGGATATTTGCGCTAACTTTTATCTTCAAATTGTTTATTCTCTCGTACACCTTCGTCTACATTTTTGTCTTTTTTCTTTGAATGCTACTGTGAATTCTGATAACATGAATTGATGAACTTCTGTACGAAGTTCTATGTTGACTTTTTCTTTCTGCATCATTGTCTGAAGGACCCTAGCCAGGCAGCTCACGTGGCTCAAAACAGCAACCAAACTCCTCATAAAATGGTCGGATGACTCAGTCTGACCTTCTTTTAAGCGAAACCTTCTTCAGTAGGACAGGATGAACTGATATGCAGGATGCTTGTCCTTGATAGGTAGACTGGTGCCATAAGTTAGCAAATCCTGAACAGTCCAAGATATGTCATCAGCGACCAACTTATTCAGACTGATGCGGCTAACCAAGTCGTGTTCCGTCCTTTCACTTCCTATCCGTAAACTACGAGTCGGCATAGACCAGTCCTGAAGCATTATCTTACACTTGACAGGTGCAAGATGGGTGCTAAATACATTCAGAAGACTGTATTTTTTCAGAGTCAACATCTAACAGGACTACGTCGCCTTTTTTTCAAGTCTTTTCATTGAATTTATCCACCTTGATATTTTGCACTTCTTGACTTGCCTAGATTATCCAAATGTTTATGGTGTAACACCTCCTGTCATTTATTAGGCTCATCCTTTCTTTATGTGAACATGATTAGAATAGTTTTCAATTAACTTTTATTCACAACAAAAAGAATCATACAATCGGGGAGAAATAATTAGGAGCATTTTCACTGCTATCATATCTTTGTTCCACCACTTAGTTTGGATCATTTCGGTCAACTTTGGGTTGCAATAATCAACTCCAAGATCTTTCTCATCATACTGCTGTTATCTGGACCATTATGAAGCTGCAGGATAGTTGTGAAATGATCTTCATTTGTTATGTAAAACACTTCATAAGTGAATTTCATTGAGGATGTTGTTTGTTCGCTTCGGTTTGATGCACTTTTCAGTAATTCAACTAGAACTTCAGACTGCCGCTGCATAGCTGGTGAGTCGTACTCCGCCCAAGCAACAAGCCAATGTAGTGGTTTTTGTAGTAGTGTATTTGGAGAATCTTGCGTAAAATGTCGGATCGGACTACGAGACCAAGCTTCTTCAACTGACCTCAGTTTCAATGCTTGATTCACAGATGTATGAATAATTGGGCGTAAGTCATACACGCCTGAGATCAAAATGAGATTCTTCAAACAACACAGCCAATTTCTATTTGATACCGATTGTATCTGAGCCCAATGTATCATTTCAAGAATCAAATGAGCCCCTGCAGAATGACCTACTAAAGTGATATTGAGTTCTGTATGATGTAATTGACTGAACTTCTGTTGTGTAAGATTCATAGCCTTCTGCATTCCAAGACACAGACGCTGTGGCATGACTTCAAGTTGCTCTTTAGGTGCTAGTCTGTAAACCAAGGAGATAAATATACTGCCAGCGTTTGTAACTGGGAAAGCCCAATGGCTGGATTCTTTCCATCCAATAGCTTGCCAAAACCCTCCATGGATATAGACTACAACACTTTTAGGCAATACTGATTGATCAGATGGGGGGAACCAATCAAAAGCGTACTCTGCACAACCATCTTCCTCAAACACAGCATCACTAAATGGGACTTTGAAGACACCGTTATCGTTAAATAATGATCGTGAAAGTTCGCTTTGTTTGAGAAGAAGAAATCTAAGCTGTTTCCTTGCATCACCTCCAACACAAGCCGGTTCTTTTGTTTTGATAAGCCAGTTTACAGTGTTGTATTGATAATCTAGTCCCTCATCAATTTCTGGCAACTGGCTTCTCGATGAATATTTCCTTTCCATGCCAAAAAGATAGTTCACGAGAATACTTGAAAAGATAGTCTCAAAAAACCCATAGCTGAAATAGTTACCTCAAATAATATTTATTCAGTTGTACAAATCGTGTATTTCACCATATCAACAAATAAACCGAGAACTGATATAAACGAATCAAGTGAACAGATAACAGAATACCTACATATGATATCCCCGTAATGTAAATTTCTAACGTTTACAGACCTCACAAAAACAATGAGTTCTGTGTATATTACTAAACATTTAAATAGTAGAATGAAACAGGTCAGAGTCCAGCATCGATCTACACAGGTGACCAATCATCCAATATCACTAATTGTTACAAGGTTAAAACTTGTGCACTGTGGTAGAATGAAATCACGAATTGGTTTTTAGTAGGTCAAAGGTGAAATGACCAAATTAATATTAAACGAGCTTACTATCAGATATCCCGACACTAAGCCTACTGACTCACTAGATTCGATTGCTGACCGTCTCCTAAACCCTAGTTCAGTTAATCTAAGAACAACATCTTATCCGACAACAAAACACAGTCACTGAATTCAAAAATGTATTTAAAAAATTAGTCACAAGTATACACTCAACAGGAACAATTTCTACAAATTAACCGAAGTTTGGGAAGAGTTAATATTTGGCATTTGGGTAATAAATTCTATGGAAAAAGCGAAATAACACTCGGCGATTCTAGACTTCTGAAAGTATTGGTGAATAGCGTTGATGAGTTGGACTTTGTTCGATTCTGAAAGACACTCCATCTCCTTTACTGAAAACGAGTAAATATAGTATGCATCAGTGAATATGTATACAAGTCACAAGTATTATTATCCAACAAAGTTAACTCATCTGCTACCATTATCATTTTAATAATAGTGATAACGTGATAGTGATGATGCTTAAGTGAGTAGGTGCGCCAAGCCCTCCAGTGGAATGCAAAGGGGAAACGACGAGTTGGACGTCCGAGGCGAGGATGACATGGAGATCATGTGAGGAAGAAATGAAAGCTTGTGGGCAGTCGTGGCGCCAGGTTCAAAGGACTGCAGAGAAGAGAGTGCAGTGGAGGCGTGCTACTGAAGCCCTATGTTCCACTGGGAACCCAAGGGAAAAATAATAATATAAGAATATAATCGGCTACTATTTGACATTTGGTCATGCACAGAGCATTCTTATGCCTTTATAACCAGTTGCAGAGGCACGGAATAGGTGAAACAAAGAGATCACTGAAGCAGCATGTGTAATAACGTTTTGGAGATGATAATTTCACTCTCTTAACTGCATTATTGTATGCTGAATCCCAAGTAGACATCTGTGATTAAACACAAATAATTGTCAAGAATGCTTACTTTGAAAAAAAGGTCAGGTTTACATGCGTACAGCTAAACTGCCGCCCAGTGAAGAATTATCTGGATTTTATTTGCCACTGTTGTTTTTGCTATACTATAGAAAACCTTGTTTATGGCACGCTGTAGCAATTACATCTACCTGTATGAATGATTTTCAGGATCCGTAAAACGAATAGTATGAAGGTATTATGGTCGTTAGGCCAGTGGGAATCCAGCTTCTGATGTTACCTTATTTACCAGTAGAGCCGTGGCTCATTGGTTTAAGCAGTTGAATTTCAATACGTGGATCACCGCTACACCTACCAAGGTTTGGGCTGCCAAACAATAACATTAGCTAGCCCTCAGACAATAGGTGTGAATCATCGCCCACTGTTCAATTCTTGACACTCAGAAAGTACTTCAGCTTTTAAGCCTATCATAATATAGCAGGTTATATACATTTCTCATGAGTAACATAGAAGTCAGGCGTAGAGTTTTAGACAGGAGAGGTAAGACAGTTGATCAGGTTGTGAACCCTCATCGACTGAGATAGCTGGGACAAGCGTAGCCAAAGTCTGCCTTGTAGCACAATGTTGGCAGAAATAGCTTCAGGCTTGGAGTGGCTAGACTAAAACATGGCATCAACGCATGAAGTCCTTGACTATTCGTTTGAACCATGTAGGGCGATGCAGACTAACCAGTTGGAATCCGCGTGACAAGAGAAACCAGTGGTTGCAGACTGTACGCGATATGGCTCAGAACTGATGTCAGTGGTGCAGACGCATACACACATTATCCTCATCTTCACCACTATTCTTAATCTCATCATCTTCGCATTCTTTCTTCCTCTCTTTTACTACTTTCTACTCCTACTTCTACTTCTTTTGACCGGTTCTTCTTTCCTTCCTTCCACTTTATGGCCTTGTTACTTGTTGTCCTGGAGTGAGATGTGGAAACTTGGGCCGTTACGCAATAATTTCTGATCCTGTGTTAATATTCATGATACACATTTCAAAGGCGTGTATAACAAATCTATCTTGTCAACGAGAATAGTTCTACCACAAAAATATTATAATGAAGTGGCAAGGTGTTCCATTTTTGAGCATTTCCTGAGGAACACTACTGCATAGTAAGTCATGACTGTATGAAGATCAAAGTCACTTAATCAGTCTTGTGAATACTAAAATGGGAACAAATATCGTTGTGTAAAAAAATATTTCATCGCTGAACATGCATGAAGTAGCAATTGAGCATTGAAGAATACATTAAGAAACCGAGCTACAGTTTATGTATTACAGAAAACAAAAAAGAAGGCAAGAAAGTAAATTTTGGCCTTGTATACATAAGGATGTCACAAAAAGATGTATTTACCCGCTAAGATGTTGATCCACTCTGCTGAAGATGTTTTATTACACTAACCCAGTTCCAACCTCTAGGCAATTCGCCATTTTGTCCAAGTCTATCTTGTTGTTTTCTTTTTTGAGCTTTTGAGAGCTGCAGTTGTTTATCAGGCTTAAGAGATACCTACACAAATGTTATATACAAAGATTAACAGAGCTATACACATACCTTAGTCGTTTCATTTGAGAATGGACTAGGGTTAAACTCTTCTACTTTTCCACTATTAAGTAATTTAGTGAATCGTTCAGAATTTTCTTTTAGATATTCGATCAATGTAAAAGTTAGCGCTGAACCAAGTTGATCTTTCGCAACAAATAACAGTTCCTTGACGATAGTTTCTTTAACATTCGATGGTACATGGCTGTTGTAAAAAGCATCCATAGAGATGCACGGTAAAACATCCGGATAACCCAAAGGCCAGTGAATTTGTACAACAAACGAAGATGCTGTTCCTTGCTCACCTACCTAAATTGTTGTTTTCTTGTCATAAAAAATTAGGACAAACTTTGTATTCTAGATTGTAATCACTTAATACTGACAATTCTTGATCATCGAAAATTGATCTCAATACTTCAGCTTCTTCCTAGACTAGAAGTAGTGATTTTATGAATGAAAACAAACCTCTCTTGGATCACATAATGACATTTCACATTTACACCAACTAACGAAATCCAACTACTGTAATCTGTAAAGAAAAAGTCTAATTTTAATGGCTTTCATACACTACTTTCGTCAGATTAACGATAAAAATAGCATGAACTCACAAGCTTATACACGTAATCTGTTGAAACGTCTATTAGCTTGAAAAATTATTTATTTCTGCTTCGATTAACTGTTTAAAAGTCGATGGTATATGTTAAAAAGTAACCAAGATATACTCTTAACCCTAATATCAACGTTTTATTACGGACCAATAAGCATATTGTTTCGAGTGTTCAGCCAAAATGGATCGATCGGACTCCAAGTCAAGTCAACATTTCGCACTCAGCTACCTTGTATACTTCCGTGCAGTAGACAATGAGCCATATCCATTGTGTGAGGGCTAATGATACTGCCTGGGTGTGCGAAACCTTGGTAGGTGGAGCGGGGCTCGAAACTGTCACCTAAGATTCTTCGAATCAAATAATTCAATAATAACAACCGTTAAGCTTTAGAAGCCACACAAACCCATCATAACGTTTAGTTCATGGTAGCAGGAAGCAAATTGAAGGTGAAATGAAAATCTGGCTCACGATGGGATTCGAATCTGCGACCTTTGGGTTACTTACTCCACCGCCGACTGATATGGTTGGAACACGTGTTACGTATGCCTAACCACCGTCTTCTGCGGCACACAATGTTGGCCGAAGTAGGTTCAGATTGGAAAAAGGTCCGAGGCGGCCAGACTAAAACGAGGCACCAATGTATGAAGTCTCTGACTATTGGGTTGAGTTATGTGGAGCAATGCAGACTAGCCGGTTGGGGTCCGCGGGACAAGAAGAATCAGTGGTGATATGGCCCAGAACCGATGTCATCTTAACTCTTTACCTAATCTCATCATTTTTTCATTCTTCCCTTCCCTCTTTTCGTACTTTATATTTCTTCTGACAGAATTTTCTTGCCTTCATCTTCCACTTCACTGCCTTTTTACTTGATGTACTGATGTAAGCTGTGGCAACTCAGACCGTTAAGCAGTAATTTCTGGTCCTATGTTGATAGATGATGATGATTATCACTTTAAATGTCTACAAATCATAAATCTGAATAACTGGCGTCGTCTTGAATGACATCACTTAAGAAAATATATGAGTAATAATGAGTAGCCATATCACTAATAGTTTGATCAATGAGCCAGTATGAATAATCACGAAGTGGAAATGTCTTCTGCAAGAATTACAAAAACCTATCAATACAGCCTCTTTTCGTTATTTTTATATCATGACCGATCTGAATGACAGAGAAAAAGTAATAGGCTAGTCAAATTCTAAGGCTACTTACAATTCACATAATAAATTTTATATGACATAGTATTCAGTGTTAAGATATTTATTTACTGGATTATATTTCAAGCACAGTGTATAAATTTGCGAACATATCAAGTTATGAACAATAAACCAAACACAAAACACTGTCCGGTAGATAATACTGAATCGAAATAACGAGTCTGATTAATCCATATATATGCGGAATTTACGGAGAATGTGGCAGACCTCAACGCAAAATTCGAAGTCTTCTTCTTTTCAATTCTACATCAAAGAAGTATTATTACAGGGTAGGTCGTCCTGTCATGTGCTACACTTTGGAGGGCTAGCCACACTGATATTATTATTTATTATTATTAGTCCCTTCGGTTCCTAATGGAACATACGGCTTCAGTAGCACGTCTCCAGTGAACTTTGTTCTCTGTAATCTTTTGAACCTGGCTCCACGACTGCCCAAAAGCTCTCATTTCCTCCTCGCACGATATCCTCCATGTCACCCCACCTGGGACGCCTAGATCATCGCTTCCCAATTGGGTTCCACTCGAGGGCATGGTCTGGTGCGTGATGTCCACAATCGGCCTTCTCAGTGTATGCCAATTCAATCCATCTCACTTCCTTCCAGAGCATATTTGTTGGGTGATAGGTTCTTGGTTGGTTCGTTCCCAGAGCTCCTTGTTGCTTATTCTTTCTAGCCATCCGATCTTCAGTAGCGAGCCAGAGTAAGCAGTTGTTGATGAATGTCTGTAGTTTATTGGAAATGCCTTCCGTGACGCGCCAAGTCTCTGAACCATACGGAAGCACTGACTCGACGTTGGTGTTGAAAATTAGGATCTTGTTCCACATGCTAAGTGAAGTGCAGAAGATCTCCACAATGGTTTCAGGCCAATGAACGCCTGTCTTGCTTTTCAGATTCTGGCTGGCTTTGACGTCCTCGTCTGTGCCGCCTGTAGTTGAAACAGTGCTACCCTGCCTAAAGAGGTGAAAGAGGTTACTTCCTTTAGGTTTCTCCCGTTGATGGTGATTGGAGCTTGTTGTTGTTGTTGTTGTTGGTGGTGGTGGTGGTTAGGTATCTTCATCACCTCTGTCTTCTTTACACTCACTTGAAGTCCCATCTTCGCTGCTCTGCCTCACCTCTTCTGTCAACTTGTTAGTTTCCGCCTGTAGATCTTCAATTTTGTGTGACATCAGACACAAGTCATCACTGGCGAAATCCAGATCTTCTAGGTTCTTTTCATCAGTCCAACGTATCCCCCTCTTCTCGCTTCTCACTGTTTGTTGCATGATCCAGCTGACCACAATCAGGAATATCATGGGGGATAGTAGACAGCCTTGTTTTACCCTGTCCTCACTTCAAAGGCATCACTGAGCTTCCCATTGTGAATTACTTGGCATGTGGCATCTTCATATAGTTGTTGAATGAGATTGATAAAGGTTTGCGGTACTCCGTAGTATTGAAACAGTTTCCAAATTACTTCTCGGTCGACGCTGTCAAAGGCCTTCTCAAAGTCGATGAAGTTGAGGTAGAGAGCTGACTGCCATTCTATGCTCTGTTCTATGATGATACGAAGCGTTGCAATTTGGTCTGCACATGATTTGTACTTCCTGAAGCCTGCCTGTTCCGGTCGCAGTTTTGAATCCAGCATATCCTTTAACCTCTCCAGGATGATGCGGCTTAATATTTTGCTTGGGGTGGACAGGAGGGTGATTCCGCACCAGTTCTTGCAAACACTGAGGTCTCCCTTCTTCGGGAGTTTGACAAGGTAACCCTTCTTCCAATCGCCAGGTACCTTCTCTTCCTTCCACACCTTCTGCAATAGTGGTGTGAGCATGTCCGCTGTTGTCTCTGCGTCTGCTCTCAGTGCTTCTGGCGGGATCCCATCTAGTCCTGCTGCTTTCCCGCATTTCAGCAACTTGATGGCGTTCAGGACTTCCATTTTCGTTGGGGGATTAATGTTCACTTGTAATTCAGCGGCTGCAGGTGGTATTTCTGGACGAAGTGTAGGTGGTGGTCGATTCAAGAGCTTCTTGAAGTGGTCAGCCCATCGTTTCCTCTGTTTCTCTTCTTTTGTAATTAAATTTCCGTCATCACCTTTTATTGGTTTCGTCTGTGTTGATCTCTTCCCAGATAACAACCTGGTTATTTGATACAATGTCGTCAGGTCTCTCTTACCTGCAGCCTGTTCTGCTTCACTTCCCAGTGTTTCGTAGAAGTGTCTTTTGTCTTTGCGTGCACTCTTCTTCACTTCTTTGTCCAGTGTTTTATGCATTGTGCTCAGTTCTTCTTGTCGTTGAGTATCCTTGCACTGGTTAATCTTCTGCTTCACCATCCTCCTCTCCTCTATCAGCTTCCAGGTATCCGTCGAGATCCATTCCTTATCTTCTTTCTTCTTCCTTCCTAATACTGTTGTGCAGGTTTCTTTCCACATAGCTTTCAAAGACTTCCAGTGTTCTTCCACACAGGTTTCTTCAGGGATGTTCCTCGATATCTCACATTTTGTCTTGATGGCTGCCTTGAAGATCTCCTTTGTAGTTTCATCCTTCAGTTTCCGAGTGTTGTACTTGAATTGAGGTCTATCACCAGCTTCCTTGAAGGCTTTTAACTTGATTTGGAAGGTTCCTTGCACTAGATAGTGGTCTGAACCTACATCTGCTCCTCTTCTTGACCTTGTGTTAAGTAGACTGCGTCTCCATTTTCTTGAGATTGAAATGAAGTCGATTTGATTTTTAGTGTGTCCATCTGGTGAAATCCATGTCGCTTTGTGGATATCCTTGTGCTAGAACACACTGCCTCCAATCACCAAATCGTTGAATGCACAGAATTCTGCAAACAATTCTCCATTCTCATTCATTTCACCTAGCGCCTCTCGACCCATGGTTAGTTCTCTTCCTGTGTTGTCCCCTCCCAGTTTGGCATTCATGTCGCCCATTAGGATTTTGATATCGCCAACTGACGTCCTGTCCAGTGTTAATTGCAGTTGTCTGTAGAATTCCTCCTTTCTCTCTTGCTCTGCATTATTTGTAGGTGCATAACATTGTATGATTGTGACCTTTCTTCCTTTTGAGTTGAACCTTGCTGTCATGATCCTGCAGGAGGAGATTGGTTCCCACTGCATGAGGGCCTTCGGTGCTCTTGGGGACATCATGATAGCCACTCCATAACTTAGTGTGCTCGTGGTTGTTGTCTGGGTGACAATATCGGAGTAGATTATTGATTCTCCAGTTCAAAGTTTGGAGAGTCCATTCCCATTCCATCTGCTTTCGCAAATTCCAAGCACTCCAGTGTGATACCTCTTCATCTCGTTTGCAATCTGGGCTGCCTTAGTGGGTTCAAACATGGTGCAGACATTCCATGTCCCCACGTTTACTTTCGCTTTCATCGAGAGAAGACATATCGGCCAATTGGCTTCCCGAAGGCTTTCACCAACTGGCGTCATTTCGCCTCTCCGATTCCAGCGAGGAATAATTTTGTAATTATTTTTTGTATTTCGTTTGTGCTTTGAAGTTTCTTTAGCGGTCAGATTTGTTTTACGGGGTAGGGTTGCTAGCTCTATGCCCAACCTTCCCTCTTTACCCGGGCTTAGGACCGGCTAGTAACTAGTGAACTAGTTAACCAGGCGAGGTTTGGTGCGCCACCACCCTGATAGCGATAAGATTATTCTTCAAGAACACTTGAACACCAACAGA